AAAATCGGCGAATTTTCGGACTGCATCTTACATTCGCCATTTTTTTCTTCTTCCCCTTTCTGAATCATATTAACCAAAATGCTGATGTTATAATGAATAATATGATTAATAAATAAAAACTAAAGTAAATAATAGTTAAAGTAGGCAACTCAAGCCTTAAAAGTCATTTATCTCATAATAACATCAAAACAGTTCACAGAATGCAAATTACAAAATCAGACCACAATAATTAAAGCTTATAACATCCATATGGATTGTATTGTTGGAAGCTTAAAAGTCACAATTTTAAACATATAAAAATAACATCTTACCTTTCCAAAATGAAAGTTTTAAAACTTAGGCTTCCATTTTAAATTGCTTTACAAATCCATAGCTTGAAAACAAAAATAATTTAGTAAAACATTCTTATATTTTCCAATGCTTTCAGATACTGAATGAGTATTTTTATGTGCTATATCAGTTTACACAAACTTCCTGAATATGCCAGAAGAGCAAAAAAATTAAACAAAAATTTGGAACCTTTTCCAAGATTCCACGCAATAACAATTTTTGCTGAAGAAAATATACGTAACAAATCATTCGGATACTTTCATCGGTTTACATCGAAAATATAAATAGTACAGCAAATACATACAAAAAAGAAAGTGTGGAAACACTTAACACTCTGTAAACGCACACTGATCAGCTGACTGCGTCCATGGCACAAACATTCGCCTTTTCTAATATAAATTGTTTGTTCTAAGAAATTGAATGTTATTTAAAACATGTAGACGAAATTATTAATTTCATTCTTTAGTACTTTTAGTATTTTGCGAAAATTTTATGAAACGATATAATGCGTGTTCAGATATATAAAATGAATCTTTGAAAGACTTTGGGGATCAAAAGTGAAAGACGTACTTCCTTATTATTACAGCTGCCGTTATTTAAGCGACTGAAGAATTCTTTTGTTATTGAGCTGCGGCAAAGCGGCAATTCTACTCGAAACTCTTCGCAAACCGCCATCAACAGCTAGTAAGCCCTAACAACAGTGTTCAGTCTGTCATTATTACTACAGTCATAAGACATAAACGCCATTAGCTTTAACACTTGTGGAACAGGATTTAAGCCGTAGCCAGTCAGAGAACATACAGCTGCGCATGCTTTACTCCAGGGTTTTACTCTTTTTCTTTAGCTCTGGCTTTACTCGGTGAAATCGTGGACCGGATGCCAGTTCGCATTTATTTCACTATAACTACTAGGTTATCGTACTAGGCTTCAACAGTTAGAATGTTTTTAAAAAATCCTTACACCAATTTGGTAGCGGAGCAACAGCCGTTTGGCTACTATACAGCTATATTATCGTCTGAGCAATCTTTTAGTCTGGTCGTCATACAGAGAGCTCTGAGTTGGTTTCTGTTTTGACACGATGAATTAAAAAGAGGGCTCTTGGGGCCAGTTAAATAGCAGTGATATTAATAATACAGGTACCATAGAAAAATCAGGTAATTTTATTTTCACCGCTTTTTCAAAAAATTCTCCAAACAGTGTGAGAAACTCGTCACAACCCGTAAAACACGTCTATTCTGGATTCTGTGTTATTACCATTACTACATTTTTCATTTCGTCACAGGCGTCTGATTGATAATTCGGTCCGGGATTGCATGGTGTCCTCCATGTGTAACGTGTATACGAGCCAGTTTAATCTTAAAAAGACCTTTACGAAGGCCTCTCCTCCCCTTAGGCAGATACCCGTCGAGTGCTTTGCCTTAACTAAAATAAATCAAACCAATCTAAAAGAAAAAAAAAAAAAAAAAAAAGTCACTAAATTGAAGTTTTTAGAAGGTACTTTTATAATAGTTAATTTCAGAGTAATGCTTTTTAAATGAACTGATTAATTTGACTTTCAGAGAAGACGAAAAGAATTATATAAATATAATGATTCTAATACTGTAATTCAGACTAAGGATTAATTAAAATTAAACTTTAAAAGCTCATTTACAGCCAAATAAATAATATGTTGAATCCTAAAAAATATTTCTCGAGCTGTTTTCGCCTAAACGCTCATATATTTCGATTACTGTATCTTCTTAAATTTCATCAGCATGGAAACTCAAAAAGGTTAAAGCAAATTCTGAACTCAATTAGCACTCTTGTCAATAAGGGCAGAATTAAAGCATAGGCAGGGGGCGCATTAAGCAAAGGATCCCCATGCTAATTCATACGCATTTAATTTACACTGAAATTCTGCGAGTGGCTGTCGGAGGGACGCCAAAAATCCGAATTTGCCCGGGGCCCATAATGCTTTTTAACCCTTTGCGGCGTACTATACGTTAACGTCGGAATTTCAACAAAAAAAGTTGTATGCAGTCTATTTAGTCCTAAGGGAGTATACAGGTGAAATTTTGTAAAAATTGCACTTACCGTTTTAATTCTGTGGGTGTTCCATGATGTGGAACACTGCGCCGCCAGAGCTTTTAAAAGTGCGACTAAGCGAACATTACAGTGAAGCAGGAAAATGAGTAGAAGCGTTTGTATAAGAATGAAAAAACTCTGTATTATGGCTGTATACATGGTTTCCTGGATATACACAATATTTTTGAATATATACGGATAAATGAGATAAATATCTATATACACAAGTCCTATATACAAAAATATTTACAAATTTTCGGAAAGAGTTAGACCTCTCCGCGATATTTATGGAAAATTAATAATAAAAAATTAACTACGATTAATATTAACAATAAAGAAAAACAAGCCTATAATATATACATACACGAAAAATATCTACACAATTATTGAAAATAAATGGGAATGAGACTAAAATGCGACAGCAAAAAATTCGCGCAGGTCTAAGTAAAGATGAGTCAAGCTACTAATAAAATTCCCGCCTAAAAAAAAAAAAAAAAAAAAAAAAAAAAAACTACTCCCAAAAAATTCGAGATGCCAATATTAGAACTTTCATAACACAAAACACCCCTCACCCCTCAATACTGCTTTGTTTGAATTCATCCCCCCCCCCAAAAAAAAACAACGGAAAGAAAAAACGTAAACAACGGATGTTCTCTCCTAAGCACAGATGTTCTGATTCGTAACAGCATGAGATCGCTAAAGGCGCAGTGTTCCCGCTACTGGAACACCCGGTTTCATTCAATGATTCTGCGCATGGTTTTTTTAAAAAAAATATAGAACAAATAATTTGGAGTACGGCCAGCAAAATTATGCCTAATTTTTTTTTCCAAATAAAATTTTTTATATCATTAAAAAAATAGAGAAAATTACTTGAAAAAAAGTGCATTTTAGTAACACATAATACATGAAAATTCTGTGTCTCTTTGTGATATGCTGCTATCTACTGTTTAAAAAGAAAAGTTTAAAGTATATTTTAAAGGCATTTTTATCTATTTACGGTTGAATTTAAAGGTTTCAGAAGCGATTCAATTTGGGTGTTCCATGTAGTGGAAACACTGAGCCGCAAAGGGTTAAAACGGCACTGTTGTCAATGTTGCGATGCACAACAAAGTTGCGATATGAATGTTTAATTCTAGTAAAATGCATTTTCAGATATGAGGAAGAATTATAACATTTTCGTTGAAAAATATCAAATTTTCGACAAAATAAGTTTAATTCCCAAACTGCAATTAAAACATATTTCCTTCCTTTTTTCCATAATAAACTATAAAAAAAAAAAAAAAAAAAAAAAAAAAAAAAAGCGCTTGATGAAACTTTGATTTGAAAGAATTGGATTTTCTCTAATACCCAAGAACTTAGAGAGTTTCGAACCTAGCACATTTTAATTTTACGAAAATCGAATTTTCGTTTTCTGATGTCATCTCTTGTAGCTCAGACTTTAAGACTTCATAAAAACTGATTTTACAACGGTTTTCAGAATACGATATTTTCCCAAACAGACGTTGCTAATGGAAAACATACGCGTTTTTGCCCTTTTGTATCTATCTCTCTCTATATAAGAGAAGAAATTTTCATTTCATTAGATTTCATCTATTCAACTGTCATTAAGTTTTGCTTTTCATTGAGACAGAGGTTTAATATATGTAAATAACAAAAGTGTCAAGGTTTTATTCAAATACAACTTCACGAAGTTATTGATAATAACTTGCTGCTCCTCTGGAACTTTGAACACTTGCACTTTCTAGGCGAGGAAGTAATCTTCCGTCAACTTAGTAGTAAGACTGCCTTCATGCACAGAAGCCTAATTTTAAAGAAGTATTACTTCCATTCAAACTTAGGGAATGTAACCAATGGTTCTTACTAGTCGAAATTGAAGAAGCGTTGACAAAGGTGGCAATGCTCTTTAGGTCAACAGCCATGAAGACATACAAGCGGAAGAAAAAGGAGGGGGAATCAGAAAGCGAAATCCGTGCCCTTCCCCCTTATCATTTCCACTTTACGTTTCATCGCCAAGCGAACGAAGTGGAATATTTAGAAAAAAGAATATAACCAAATAAAGTTTTAAAAAATCACATGTCATTCAGGAACATAACTATTTTTATTATTTACATACAGTCAACAAGTTTAGGGAATGATAGCAGCTCCTTTCCCATACAATTGGAGATTTATTTGCGCTACTTCTCAAGTCAAAAAATATGACAGACAGAAGAGAAAGTTATAAATTAACTCGCCTCAAAAGTGGCCTCATCGCAAATTCCTAGTCAGAAGTTCTTTGAAGAGAAATCTAAGATAACAGAAGAGATGGAGGTATCTTTTCATAGTTTAAAGGTTTCAAGTTACAAGTGGAAAGAAACAACGCCTCCAATGAGCAGAGAGTTAGGAAGAGGGTTAAAAAAATTACTTTAGGTCAAGCCCGAAACATAATGATTCTATTCTTCTAAATCGGAGATGTGACTATATATTCCATCTGACACCAATGCAGCTTGAGCACGGAAAAAAGTAGACATTGGCTTTGAAGGAAGATTGAGAGTAATAAACGATACATGCGGCATTCCGTATTATAGCAAAGCTAAAATAAAATATACAATAAAAAATAAAAAGAAATCTAACATTTATGAGCATTTTTATTTCTATAGTAATAATTCTACATAAAAAAATTAATAAAAATTTGGCTTTCTAGATACGTAATATGACAAATATGCATAAGTTATCGACAGGAACCTACACATCCTTATGTTTCTTATAGTTTCCTTCACAGCTTATTTAATTACTCTACAAATTTGATGTTTAAAAAAAAGGTGGGAGGCAGTTTAATTTTTTGAAGAAATACCATAATTTCCTTAATTTTTCAGAAACATTATATCTAATGCCAATTTCTTAAAATTCAAATCTTACAACCCACTAACATTTTTCAACTTTCTTGTGGAAAAAATGTACTAATTAACGATATATATCTCCTACAAAAATAGAAATTAAAAATTTTAGGCTTCTTTTTATTGAGGTATCATAAAAATCCCCCACCCCCAAGTATAAAAAACATGTATTAAAGAAATTGGATGTCTTAAGAGTGCCAATTAGTATTTATTAAAATTAAATATAGGAATGCAAATTAAATTTGAATTAGTTCTTTTTAAAACAACAATTACATCAGGAATAAAACAAGACACTTGAAAATAAATTTATGGTAAAATAAAATCAAAAATTCTATATTGATATACATAACATCTGGCATTAGAAATTTCTTTTACAAATGTCAATAATCTTGCAAATGTTCATAAACATTAGCAGTTGCATACATTGTTAATTAAATGCATTTTATATTACACAAATTAACTACATTATTAGAAAATTAAATAAAAGTGTAAATCAAAATATGCATTTATTGATTTTAAATCAGTTTGTTAAATACTTACAGTATGAGAGATGAAAATTTGATGTGACATCAAATGGCAAAAATCCAGATATTGGTTATTTGCTAGGCCTCATGCAGAATAAAAATCTTATATGTTGTACAATGACAACACTAGCCACATACTGTAGATAATAAATGGCAAGGGAACAAATTAATGGCTATGAAAAATTTGAAAGGCCTCTGCTAAAGATGTCTTTAATAATAATTTCACATTAACAAAAATAAAATAAACAAATAAAAAATACTTGACCTTTGAATGAGATCAAAAATTAAAATGGCAACAAAGAATTATTTCAATGCGTTCTAATTATTGCACTTCCAAGCCAATTCATTGATGACTTGATGAAAAACTTCTGTCATTTTTTAGATTCATGGGTGCAATCTTTCCTTCATGAATGATTAATAAATAGAGTTGTTTTTTAAAAAATTAAGATTATTTTGTGAAAGAAAAAACTTCATGTGGCTCACATTTATATTTCAATGGCAGTTAACTGTTCAATAACATAATAATTTAAATTCATGTGCATAAACTTGTTTTTAAACAGCATGGTATGCATATGGGTGGGTTGACTGTTGCCATATGCATACTCACAAATAAGCCAAAAACATGTCAGTTCTACTGAACAAACACTAAAACTGGGGGTGCAGATAATCAGAAAATACCATTATTTCTTTTTTCTCTCATCAAATAAGGTTTTCATAAGCCTTATTTGATGAGAGAATGATACTAGATTTTTCATCAACAAAAATTTTCAGGTACATTATGGCTAACAATAAATTATTTTACAAATATCAACAAAAATAAAATTTATCATATAGACATTTGTTGTATATAATACAAGAATAATTAGAACAATTTCTTATACCTAGAAATTAGTCTTAAAATGTTTCAGTTATGTGGTACCTAAATAAAAATTAATTTTTCTCATAAAGAAAACATTACTTTGCACAGCATTTGATAAAATATATAGAATTTGATAATTTTCAGACATTATCAACTTGTTGTGGAGACACACACATCAGATTCTAGTTGTTCTTCAGCCCTTAAAACTATCTCAAGCACTTTTTTCTGTATTTTCTGTTGGGATACTCTTGGCAGAGATTTGGTTGTAGAGTACACAGACATAAAAAACTGGTACAGTCCATCTTGTTTTTGAATTTGTTCATCACCATCTATTGTTTTCCTTGATTTCAAATCTCTTTCACTGCATATTTTATCATGATCTAGAGGTCTTTTACGACTAGATGCATTAACTTTTGTTTTCTTTAAACTAGTCATTTTTGAGGAAAAATTATCATAAACTGAGCATTCATCAGTAGCTACTTCTAAAGATGTCTCATCATTTTCATCTTGAACATCTATAGAACTTTCATCAACTATACCTAAAGATGTCTCATCGTTTTCATCCTGGATATCCACAGAGCAATCATCAACTATCAATACTAAAGACGTTTCATCATTTTGATCCCGAACATCCATATTATCACCAGAAAAATCAATTGTACAATTTGATATGAGCTCTGTTTCATCAGTTATATTACAATTACTTGGACTTTTCATCTCTTTACAGGCAACCAGTTTTATATTTCTAGAGTCTAATAAATCTGATGGTTGTTTATTATAAATTGTGCATTCAGCAATAACTATTTCTGATGATGATGACTGGTTATGGTCTTCAGAATTTCCACTGCCAGAAACACGAACACTTTCTTCATCTGAAGATTCTTGAATGAGCAATTCTGATTCACTTTCAGTGTTGCTAACATATTCATCTCCATTTAATTGTGAAGAAGTTATCATTGGACAAATATCCATGAATGGGAGTAAAAATTCCATTTCTTTGTAGCCACTCCAAATACTTATATTCTTTTTAGGTCTCTTCTTATTTCGGACTTCTAAAGCAAACCTGTAGCAGTTTGTCAAATAATTCCATTGAACTTCAGCTTCATTTCCTAAAATACATAGTTGTAATCACAAAAGATGCATGCAAATATAAAGTAATAAGATAAATGATAAACCTTATTACAGAAACATTTATAATTTTTCTTTCTAGAAAAAGTGAGGGAAGGATAGAGGTTATTTTTCTAGAACGGGGAAAAAACATCTCAACCAAGACATCCATTTAACCAGCATAATAATAAAAGCAATACTATTATCATGGGATTTACTATTATAATAAGCATTAGTACTTGCTAAATTGCAGATAGATTCCTTTTGAAATGAAACTTTTTTTTTATTATTATTATTATTTACTCAATATTTATTACATTGCATAGGGACTTACTTTCAGCATGAACAATGAATTGCAGAATGTCAACCTACAAAATACTCATGTAATACACATAATGTGTCTCACAATTGTATTTCGGCATTGCACAACTACAAGAAATATTACAAGAACATCAGCTTGCTCAAACATTTATTTCAAATTTTTAGAATTCTCCAGAAACATTTAGCATAACTTCATCTGGTTTTTTCCATTGCCACAAATATCAGAGAATATATTAAACTTACTCTTTAGCATTCAGAATGTGGAACATTTCATACACTAAAAAAAGGGGTTTGTTATATCTGCCAATTTAAGGAGAATTAATCTGTGTTATCTTAGGGCCTTTTCCAAGTACATACAACATATACAACAGTATAGAGCACTAGCAAAGCCTCAATTAAGTAAAAGTATACAGGTAGCCATCCTACAACATGCCATCTGGTAACACAGGTTTCGTTATAACATGATTCATAATTAGAGGGAACTCTCCTACAATGCCGCATCCTATAACACAAAAGGAAAATTGCTCAAGAAATCCCAAGAACTTTAATGAACTCTGCAGGAAGTTTTTCATATTGAGCAAAGCACCCACACAATCATTTAACGTATAAGAATCCTTCTTTAGTAAATTCTGCCAGTTGTCTTCCAAGATCCGGTTCCATATCCTCAGGAAGACGAGCCACGTGGTGGATAGCAAACACTGAATTCTTAACCAGTAATGGAGGAAAATAGTTTCTCTAAATGATCTTCAGAGTATAGCCCTATAGAAACAATACACAGTTTCAAGAGAGCACTCTCACAAGATAATAATGAAGAAACTCACTATAGCAGAAGATGAACAGCTGAAGTCACAATAAGAGCTCCCAAATGCACAATCTACAAGTTCGGCTTCCAACATTTGAATCCTCTGCTTCACAGCCTGAAGACAAAAGAGTCTTATGTTACTGGTCGGCAGTTTGTGTTGAGCACAGTGTCTTAAAGTATAACCAAACTATGTCCGATAAAGATTTAAAAAAAAAATAAATAAAAAAAAAAAAAAAATTAAGAGGTCTTTTAAAAGGAGAAAAAGCATCTCACATTGGAAAATGTCTTGAATTTGATTGAAGCAATTGTCTAGACTTTTCAGAAAAATGAAATAAAAAAGTGCGGTTGTGGCAGGATCTTCGACATCTGCAAAACATGCAGCTCACCCCTTAGCACCAATAATTGAGAAGCTGCAAAAGAACTCAGCATTTGGATTGATGATAGCTGTCACAAAAAAATTCCATTGGATAATAATATCATTAAACAAAAAGCACTCAAAATTTACAAACACTTTAAAGAAAATGGAGGATCCTCTGTTAAAAAACACATTGAGGATCTATTTCATCTCCATTCCAAGTAAAACTAAATAATATATAAATTTCATTATATTTTTTTATAAATAAATTTTCTTTTCTTTTAGATATTCTTAGTGCTAGTAGATTGTCCTGGATCCATCACCTGTGAATCATCACTTTTCCGTTTAGTCAATCCTAGCCATTTTGAAAAATCTAGATTTATTTCATTATTTTTCACAAATATTTAAACGCACAATATATTACAAGTTCTTCAAAAACAATATTCTCAAATCGCATAGAAAAGTAAGGAATGCAAGACAAGAAGAAGACAAAATACCTGCAGTTAGAAACAGTAAATTGATGTAGAAAATTATTCTAACTGAAAATCGAGCATTATGAGCCCGGAATTGGTGGTGACATTAAAATCTAGACATGGTAATAAATCAATCAAGTCTAAAAGAATTAATGAGATACTATTATCTTTTTATAGGAACTTATTTTTATTTCCTATTAAATACAACATCCATTTCTATTAGTTGTTTTGAAAACTTCATTTATGACAAATTTTGTTATGTCTATGGCTAAAAGAATATTTGTGAAACTAAAAATGGATTATTTTCCTGAAGTTTATGAACATCTATTGACCTTGAACAAAGCTCAGATCGCAAATTTACAAGTGTTATAGAAAAAACTTAAACAGGATTTTGGGGTATTTAATTTTTGAATTTAATAGCTAAAAATACTTTGTTTTTTTACGTACCATCAGTTGAAAATCGCTGGTCTAGTTTTATGAAAATTTTATGTGAAGTTGGATATCCACAACAAATATAGGGAGAGTGATAACTCAGCTTAACATGTAGAAATAACTTCTAAGGCTGAGTAGTTAGTTACAAATAATTCAATTATATAATTAATCAATAGATTACATAGTTAAAATTAAAATTTCTTTTTTATTATTTCTAAAAAAAATTTCCAATAAAAATAACTAAGAGCATTTTACTCCAATTATAATGTTACAATAACAAATAACAAAATGTTTATGCATCTTTTTATTTTGAAAATTTTCCTTATATTTTAGCTAATTTGCATCACTTCCCTTCTTTTGAGCATCTTTTCTAAGTTTATTTGAGTCAATAAACAAATTAATGTCCCATTAGTTTCTGCTCCGTCCTCAAATTTACAAATGTTTCAACAATGTACCTTTGAAGAATAATTTTCTCTCTTCTTATAAAATCAATTTCTTCTTCAATGAGTTTCCTCTTCGTTTTAGAATTTTCAGATTTAATTAAAGATTTCTATTATTCTAAAGAACTGATTGTACTTAGAATGCATAGAAGAAATTGCTAATTTTATTTTTTTAATACAGTACAAAGTGTTTAATCCGGATATCCATAATCCGGACCTCAAAGCTACAAACTTTCTGCGCATGTGGAGTGTTTACGCATGTGCATATGCATTCACATAATACCTTTAGGCATGCACATAATACGTTTACGCATGCACGTTTAATGTATAACGTACAATATAAGCTAGGCTAAAATTATCTATTTCAGTTAATGTTGCAGATTGCGTTGTTCCGTAATCTTCTAACCTGAAATTAATTCTAAATTTCAGGTTTATTATTTTATGCATTATTATTATTATTGCATTATTATTTTTTGCAGACTGTTAGAGCAATTTTATAAAAAGTAAGCTTCAACTTTCAATTATGTCAAAAAGAGTTTCCAATTTTGGAGCTGCCAAAAGATCCACAAAGCGAAAACATGTTTCGATGTCCATCAAACAAAAAGTGGAATTGCTGCAAAAAATGGATAAAGGCATGAAGAAAGTGACAGAGAGGTTAGTGAAAACAAAAAAATTTCGATTGACAAGTTAGTCAGTATACTCGGCACAGCAATTATAGGACTTGAACAGCGGAACTTTGTAACTGAACAAGACATTATGTCCATTTATAGAATTAAAGAGAAAGTATTAGCACAAAAAACGAAGCAACTTGAACAACTTACATTGAAAGAAATGTTTAATTATGTAAACAAATAAATATTAAGCTTTTTTATTTTGTAAATTTTGATATTCTTTAGATCATAATAGCACTTTATTTCATAAATTAAGTTTTCATATTTTTAATTGTATAATTTCTGCATGCCTTCTTACCAGATTTAAATTGATGATCTATAATCCGGAAAAAACCCCTAATCCGGAATCGCCAAAGTCCTGATGAGTCCGGAATGCGGACTTTGTACTTTATATAAAACGGGATTTTCAAAAGAAACACCACCTAAAGTCCGCACTACGGAGGTTGTTTTTAATTGTTACTTTTGTGAGTTTATGTGGCGACAGCAGTATGTATTTCCATTTTCATGTTATTTCCTTGTTTTATTTTGATTTAAGATGCAATTTATTGAGGCAAAATATTTGAAGGGATTTTTGAAAGAAACGCCATCGACAGGCACTACAGAGGTTATTTTTAATTGTTACTTTTTTTAATTTATGTGGCGACAGCAGTATACAGTTCTAATTCAAATCATTTTAAACAATTTTTGAATGCTATTCAGGAATTCTGTGTGATACACATAGGAAGACGCAGAAATTTCTAAATAAGGTAAGTCAACATTTACTGCACAGATTAGATAACATGCATTTCCATTTTTATGTTATTTTCTTGTTTTATTTTGATTTAAAATGCAGTTTATTGAGGTTAAATTTTTTTATGTTTTATTGCATTTTACTAGGGAGGGCGCTGCACGTAAACAAGAAGGCTTCAAAAAATTTCCAATTTTTACCAAGGGTACCCTGAAATATATTTTCCCCTAAATGCTATGTAATTACAGGACTTGAACAGTGGAACTTTGCAACTGAACAAGAAATTATGTCCGTTCATAGAATTAAAGAGAAAGTATTAGCACATAAAACAAAGCAACTTAAACAACTTACATTGAAAGAAATGTTTAATAAAGTAAACAAATAAATATTAAGCTTTTTTTTGTAAATTTTGATACCCTTTAGATCATAATTGCTCTTTATTTCATAAATTACAGTTCCATATTTTTAAGTTTATAATTTCTGCATGCCATCTTACCAGACTTAAATTGATGATCTATAACCCGGAAAAACCCCCAATCCGGAATCGCCTAAGTCCAGACGAGTCCGAATTAAAAACTTTGTACTGTAATATAAGTACTGGGAATAAATATGAAATGATATAAGGTCACAGCTGGAGCTAGAGCCAATGTGACAGAATTTTTAGAATTCAGTGAAGCACAGAGCAACAAAACTTATGGATGGCAAAATTTTAGAACTTAGGGCAGCACTGAGACATATATGATAAATCTTTTAATAAATTGTCAGTTTTGAATTTTTTTTGCTTTAACTTTTGTGTCTAGTGGAAAGATAAGAAAACAAAGGGAAGATAAACATGTTAAGAGTTCTGGTATCAAAATGAGAAGATTCAAATAATTTTCTTTTTCCTGTTTTTTCAAAAATTATCCAAACGATAAGAAATTCATCACAAATTTCCTATGAAACACATCCATTACTTGTTAATACCATGAAGACACTTTTCATTTCATCACATTTTTCTGGAAATTGTAGGCCTTAAATCTTGCCTTCAAATCCTTCTAAACTGAAAAGTCTAAGAGTCCGAAAGAAAATCATCCAAACCAAGTCTGTGAGAGCAAAACAGCCAGAAAATTTATTGCAACATTCATCGATGACAAATTGCAAAAAAATTACTATATACGCCCTACAAAAAAGGTCTTAAGCCCATGGCACATTTAAAAAGTACAAATTCCATGTTGAGAAGCAAATGGTGAAGCAACTGAAAATACTCCACAGAGATAATGTGAAAGAATTCAAAAACCATGAATTTGATCATTTCTTAGAAAAGGATATCAGATGTCAGTTTTTAGATGAGTAAGAGCTGCAACTGAAAAGAGTTGCAGAATTTACCAATTGTACCCTAGCTGAAATGGTCAGATGTATGCTGTTTAAGGTCAAAATTACCCTAAGGATTGTGGGCAGAAATGGTTTCAACAGCAGCTTGCACACTTAACCGATGTCTTACAAAAGTAGATCAAAATGCCTGAATAACTTTTGCCTATAAGAAAACCTACAGTATTGCACTTCAGAATCATTGAAAGTAAAGCTTCTGCATTAAAAATAAATTTTCCCTGAGAAGTGAAGAATATATTCTTATTGGATATTCTGAGAAAGCAAAAGCATATTGTCTATGAAAACCTGGAATCCGTGAAGCAACACAAAGTGGAAAAGTTTGATTTTGGAACTGCTTGAAATTGAAGCAAGAACAGAAACTTTAATAGGCTGACAAACAGGAATTTATTGAATTTATTTCTAGTGAAGAAAGCTCAGAACAAGAATTCTGAAGTTTCAAATGGAGAACAAAAGGTGAAGAAACTGTAAATCAAAAATATCAAAAATCAGACAGAGGACCAGGAAGAAGAAGATCAGAAAGGATGGTTCAGAAAGAGGACCATTCTGAAAACAGGTAACCAGGCACACCAAGAAAAGCCTAACAGCAAAAACATGCTAATTTCGTAACTTTGAAGTTTTTGCAGTTCAAGAAATTGTAGAAGTTTTATCCAAACCAGATGCAGAAAAATGGAGAACTGCTATGGAAAAAGTATACAACAACTTAATGAGGAACAATAACATGGGACATAACTGACTTGCCAGCTAATATAAGCTGTTGGCTGCAAATGGATATTCCAAATAAAGTGAAAGGTGGACGACACAGTCAGTTGGTAGAAGGCTAGACTTATCATGAAAGAATGCTCGCAAAAATATGGAATAGATTATACAGAACATTTTCACACATAGTTCAGTACAACTCTATATGAACAGTGCTTGCTTTAGCTCCCAAATATGATTCTGAAACTTAATCAAATGGTTGTTCAATCAGTTGTTATTTGAATGAACAGCTTAATCAATCAGGTTTCCTAACTTTTGAAGGCAAAGTTTGTAAGTTGAAAATTCAATTTATCGACTTAAGCAAGCAGGAGGAAAGTGATGGCTAAAATTAGATAAAACTTTGTGGAAGCTCAAATTCAAAAAGTTGACATCAAATATTTGCATTATGTTCAGAAAGGAATTGATGACTGTCTCATAATTGCCATTCATGTAGATGATTTGATAATTCTAAAGCAAATCTTCTATGATATAAATTAAACAAACTCTCAGCAAATCTTTTGAAATGAGGGAGAGTAAAATTAAACCGTGTTTAGGCATTAAAAGTACACTAAATGAAAATATAACAATTAGCCAAATTCAGTACATAAAAGAACACTTGTTTAAGTGTGGTATGCAAGAATGTAAGCCTGTTTCAACACCACCTGACTCCAATATGACGACTATGTAAATTTTCAAACGTTCCAAAGAAAATGAAAGCGTAGACAAGATGGTTGTTCAGTAATTAAGTATCAATCCTTAATTTACTTAGTTGCATCTACACAACTTGATATTAATTCTGTTAGTAGACTTAGTAAATTTAAAATCTGAAATGCTTTCATTGGATTCAAGTAAACCGTGTACTACATTATCTTAAATCTGCATTTAATGTCAAGATAACTTATTGAAAAATGAACGAAAGTACTAAATGCTGGGTAGTCTATATTTTACAATAACCCTTAGATTATCGCCAAGTTGTTTCATTTATGGTAACCTGAGTATTTTATGGTGAATATTATGGAAACCCAATCATTACGTGGTTGGTTGCAATGTGTGATCATGCTGATTTTGGATTTGGGTGAATATTTCTCAGGTTTTTTCTGCGTTGGATGTCGGCTAGAAAGTACGTTGTTTATTTTGCACTTTACACCATTAAATGGCTGCCGGTGGTAAGATAACCTAAAGTTTCTGTACAATTTGGAACAAATGGGAAAGAAAGTATTGATTGACTGGTACATAAATGAAAGTTTAAATGGCTTCATTCATCAAATCATGCAGTGACAATTAAGGATCCGGAAACCGGAGCTCATATTAATACTATCAAAAGTATGTGGTACAGTACAAAGTCTGTAATCCGGACGTCCATTATACGGAATGATCTATAATCTGGACCTCAAAGCCACAAACTTTTTTTTTGTATGCTTTACGCATGCACGTTTAATGTAGAATAGACGATAGCCGTGAATTTGAAGGTTTTCGGACATCGCAAACAAAAGGTGAAATTTTCCAGTTATTAGATTTTGTAAAGAAATGTGGAGAAGTGGTAACAAATGAAGATGATATAACAGAAGTTTTTCATTGCGACAACAATACCCCAATCATCAATCAATTAACGGATGGCAAAATCTGTAGTATGGTTCTAGATCCAGAAAATACCGCTTCCGATGATGAAGAAAGTGACAGAGAGGTTAGTGAAAACGAAAAAATTTCGATTGACAAGTTATTAATCGGTATTCTCGACACAGCAATTACAGGACTTGAACAGTGGAACTTTGCAACTGAACAAGAAATTATGTCCATTTATAGAATTAAAGAGAAAGTATTAGCACAAAAAACGAAGCAACTTAAACAACTTACATTGAAAGAAATGTTTAATAAAGTAAACAAATAAATATTAAGCTTTTTTATTTTGTAAATTTTGATATCCTTTAGATCATAATAGCTCTTTATTTCATAAATTAAGTTTTCATATTTTTAATTGTATAATTTCTGCATGCCATCTTACCAGATTTAAATTGATGATCTATAATCCGGAAAAATCGATAATCCGGAATCGCCAAAGTCCTGATGAGTCCAGATTGCGGACTTTGTACTTTATATAAAACGGGATTTTCAAAAGAAACACCACCAAAAGTCCGGCACTACGGAGATTGTTTTTGTTACTTTTGTGAATTTATGTGGCGACAGCAGTATGTATTTCCATTTTCATGTTATTTCCTTGTTTTATTTTGATTTAATATGCAATTTATTGAGGCAAAATATGTGGGATATAAAAACTGATTTTTGAAAGAAACGCCATTGACAGGCACTACAGAGGTTATTTTTAATTGTTACTTTTTTTAATTTATATGGCGACAGCAGTATACAGTTCTAATTCATATAATTTTAAATAATTTTTTAATGCTATTCAGGAATTCTGTGTGCCACACATAGGAAGATGCAGAAATTTCTAAATAAGGTAAGTCAATATTTATTGCACAGATTAGATAACATGTATTTCCATTTTTATGTTATTTTCTTGTTTTATTTTGATTTAAAATGCAGTTTATTGAGGTTAAATTTTTTTATGTTTTATTGCATTTTACTAGGGAGGGCGCTGAACGTAAACAAGAAGGCTTCAAAAAATTTCCAATTTTCACCAAGGGTACCCTGAAATATATTTCCCCCTAAATGCTATGTACACGCTGATTGTGTCGAAATTACTTTCGACAGTGGCTATATTTTCATATTAGGAGAAATCCCAATTTTCTGGAAATCATGCAAGCAAAGAATTATAGCACTATCAAGCACTGAAGCAGAATACATACCATTAACTGAAGCTTCAAAAGAAGAGATACACTTGCATTTGGTATGAAGAGAACTAGATTTTTTGGAGAAGATAGCAAACCAAATGTATTATCTTATGATAATCAAGGAGTACAGATTTAGTGAAAAATGCAGTTCATTACCCTCAAACAAAACTTGCTTTCATTACACCAGGGTTTCTTAAATTTTTTTCAGTTGTGACCCCTTTTTATAATCGAGATTTGTTTTGCGACTCCCAGGACCCCATAATATTTACGAAAATTTTGTGGTGCCCCATAAGCATCGCGCAAATCCGACACATGCATGTGTGAAACTGTAAATCTTTTTCACTTGTACTGTAATATACTATTGCAGTTTTAGGTCATTAACTTTAATTTCTAATTTTAAGACATAGAAGAATGTGAAAATTTTCAATAAGTAACAGACGAAATGACAACTTCAACGTGCAAAGCAAGTAAAACAAACGTTTCTATTATAAAAAGAATGCGTCAAAATGTTTTCCCTTTTTCTTTGTGTGTATTGACTTATCTTTATCTATTCTTAAATATATTGTGTAAAAATATTAGGTAATTGTAAAATTATTATAATAAGTTAAAGAACTATCAAAACTGCTAATTTTTTTTGCGACCTCCTGCTGCAGGTCTCGCTACCCACAGTTTAAGAAACGCTGCATTACACTACAGAGTTATATGATAAAAAAGAAATTGACATTCAGTATATGCTTATAGCACAAATGTCTACCAATATTTTAGCAAAGAATCTCGGCAGGGACAAACATAGGAAATGTATGAATCTATTAGATCTTGAACTTCAACTAATGAATGCTGTTTTTGTTTTATTCTCTTTTCAGCTCTGCGAAAGAAAGGGTTAGGGAATTTCCAATCCTCTTTGAGGCTGCACAGTGCTGAAAAGGATAAAGTATACAATCCCACAGTAGAAGACAAAAAATGTGCAAAGACTGTGTGTTCTCCAAATGTGCCTAACTGGTGCATTTGTTGTCCTGGTTATTGATGTGGTCAGTAGCCATGATTCTCTCCGGTGTGGTGCAGCAGTGCGATGCATAGAATCCTGATATGGAATATAGCTGTCGAAGATGTAATATAGATAAAATGACCATACGTCCCGATTTCGGCGGGACAGTCCTCTGCGTCCCGCCGATTTTTAAAAATATCCCGCTTTTCAGAAAACATCTGCATTTTCTATTTTAAATGTGCTGTAAAATATATTACCTATTATTTATTAATTATCATAGTGAATATAAAGAAATAAAAAGACTCATAAAATGCATGCAGAGTAAACTAAATTAGGCGATGTAAAAAGTTAAATGTACTCGGTGGTATTCGATCATTGTTGTTACGTCTCATCAAGGAATATGTATTGTTAACGGAGGAACAGCTAGCATTAGCTGAAGGGTCATTTGCTTTCCACACCATAAAGCACAATCAAAGTTTCAAATCACTTGATTGTACGTCGCAAATGATCAAAACATTGTACGACAAAATTTTGCACGTGCAAGGACAAAAAAACCGAAGCAATTATTTGTAATGTTTTTTCACCATATTTGTTTTCACATTTGCAAAAAGAATTAGATTAAATGCACATTTATGTCCATATACTATGATGCTTCCAACCACAAAGATTTAAAATTATTTCCTACAATTGTTAGACTTTTTGATCCAGAAACAGGAATTAAAATTAGAATATTAGATTTTGTTTCATTGCTGGGTGAACCTTTTTTTCTCCCCAATGGCAGATTGTGAACAGTTACAGTTTTGTGACAGAGTCCATTAATCTACACTAAGGCCAGACGTGGTGGCTCTTTATTATGGAGGCACCTAATAGGTAGGCCACCATTGCTTCCTATGAAGGGACGGGCAGTCCAGGATTCGAACCCAGGCCCTTCGGTATCGCAGTCAGGCTTCCCTAACCACTATACCGTCTGGGCGGCTGCTGGGTTAAACTTCATAAATAATTTTTGATTCAACAAGTATTATTTTAAAAAAGAATAATTTGAGCAATAAAATTATTGCCTATTGTGAGGCAATAATTTTATTATTGACATTAATGCAAATTTTGGTGGAAAAGCTAGAAGAGCACCAATAAAGTTTTTATGGAACTTAACGAATGTTTGAACTAAAAAATTATTGGAGCAGGTTGTGCGGTGCACATTCTGCACAATTCTATTCAAACAGCCTCTGACTTACTTCCAGTAGATGTTGAAAATATTATTTCAAAAATTTATTCATATTTTTTATATATATATATATATATACTGTGCATGTTGAAAGTTTGAAGGATTTTTGTGAAAGCGCAGAAATCGAATATAAAAGAATTATTGTTTACAGCAAAACATGATGGCTAGCTTTTTTACCAGCTGTTGAAAATATTTTTAAAATATACGAACCATTAAAATCATACTTTTTATCACAAGATAAATGTCCAAGAATATTGCAGCTGTTTTTTTGAAAATAAAACATCACAAATTTGTCTTCAGTTCATCCACAATCAAGCTACATTATTTCACAATGCTGTGAAAATTATTGAAGGGGACAAAATTTCAACTACGGAAATGTCAAATGAAATCAAAAATTTAAAAACAAAATTGCGAGAAAGAGCTGATAACGATTACGTTTCTTTAGTTATTCGAAAGGACATCACAAGGTTGGAAGAACAAGGTGCCTTATTAAACGATCTGATTTTCTGAAAGAAGTCAGAAATTTTTATAATAACTGCTTGGAATATCTTGAAGAATCTTGAGAATTCAATTCGAGGATATTAAAAACTTTCATTGGGTAACATTAAAAAAGGAGATTTTATGGGAATATGTGGAAAAATCTTTTTAATATATTAGTAACCAAACATTTTCCGAAAAGTAATATTTGTGAAAATGATCTTTTTGATGAGGTGTCTGTCATTGGTAAAAAGATATGTTACTGATGAAAAAATTAAATGTTGGTTGTCAGCAAATTTGGAAACAGACAAAAAATGGACAAAGTTATTCCTTCATTTTAAACAGAATAATATTCCTTATGAAAATATTTTGAAAATTGTAGAACACACGCTCTCCCTTCTAGGAACATATGCACCAACAGAACGTGTTTTTTCTAGTATCAATAAAATATGGACAATTGAAAAAAACGCAGTTGGACATTAAAACCTGTATTAAGCCTAAAATATAATTTGACCAATTCATGTGAGAAATTTCACGAAATTTTAATAAATGATCTGAATCAATTGCAAAGCTTTCACTCGGATAAAAAATATACCGTTAAAGAAAATAATATTTTTAATAAAATATTAAATTAATTAAAAAACATAATATTCAAATTATTTTTTACGAATATTTCAATAGTTACCAATAGTTAATAATAAATATGTTTTTGTATATTTATAGACAAGTATATGAGTGTATATTAAAATATATTTTTTTGAATTATTGGTCTGCTGTCATAACTAAATTATAATTCTCATTTCATTCCATTTGTCTCAATGAAAATAGTACCTTATTTATTTTCAAATTAAAGAATTTTCTGTATTTAATTCTTTACAGCAATTAAATATAGTCACTTTAAATATAAAGAATAGGAATCAGTAGAATATCCCAGATAGCATTGATAATGATGTATGGCATGGAATTGTCACAACCAAGTACCTGCTGATACTCCAGTTCTGTTAATCATCTGTTATTCATCATATGTTTTTTCTCACATGTCATAGGCTGACATATCCTGTTCATCTGTTTTGTCAAGCTCAAGGAAAGGACCTTTTAAATTTACATTTTACTTACATTTAGTATGCTCCTTTGGTATGCAACCACATTTTACACTATGCAAATACTATCAGCATCATTAAAAAATCAAATAACAGTTATAATGCAGTTTTTAAATATAATCATCATTTAACTGAAGACACTTATCCCAATGAAAAATTAATTTTTCCACCAGTTTCAAGGTCTTAGTAAGTGAGAGAGAGATTCATAGCTCAATACGACAGATTACAGAGACAACCATACACTTTCCAGGAGTGTGAAATCATCACGGTTTCAGTTTGCATTTTTCGAGAAATCACCAACAATGTGGACTCTTTCTTATGAGCTTCCACAATCTAAAACAAACCCCAGCCACTCCCTCTTTTTCAATACCCACTTTCCAATTACTCTTCTACCACTATTATATTTTCTTTTGTCAAACTTCCTCTAATCAATCTCCAGAACCATATCCGGACTACCAATCGTTACACTCATTTTTACATATACATCCACACACACTTCTCTATAAAATTCCTCCCATCAACCATATTTTAATTCAAACAGACATTCACCTCATCCATAAGCAGATTCATTCCAGCTTCATATACCCACAAATATATAAAAATTAAAATATCAATTTTACTCATTTTGCTTTCTTCAAACCATGTACCCTTACACTGTAAGAGGTTTTACAATGATGAGCATTTGCCCCTTTGTCATAACAGATCCAGTCATAGCTCCTCGATCGATCCTTATATGCTCCACCAGAAGCATATCTTTCGTACATACTGGACATTTATATCAAGAACTAATTAAACCTTCATTCATACACCAATCAATAATAGCTTTCTTACTCTTTTGTTCTAAATCATGGTGAAAAAATGAGGATTTATCTTGCCAGACACACTTTTTTGCAGGGATGATGGGAAAAATGATTAATTAGAAACAGCCAGCTGATGGAAACCAACAGTCAATTAATGGCAGTTAGAAATCCAATAATTCAAAATACAGTGAAAATTAAAAATACTTTAGTTGTAAAACATGATACACACACTACAAACCATGTAGTCCTTGATCACTAAACTAAGAAGTTCCAATCAGATTAAATTTCAGAAAAAATATTGGCACATAACAAAAAAATTTTTACTAAACATTGAGAAAACACATTCAATTCTGGGTTACCAGAACACCAGTACCAATGTCGATATTTAGTGCCAATCTAAGGGGCAGCCTTTTCTACACTACAGTCTAATTTTCCTAACACGAATCAATGTGAAACAAATTAATCCATTCCCAGATTCTATATGATCGCTTAAAAAAGAATACTTTGAATATAAGTTTATAATGCAAAACAAACAGAATTCATTAAATCTAATACATACACAATATTTGGCACATATAAAAATTAAATTTTTGCTATAGCTTAAGAAGAGAAGTTTATGGCTTACGTAGAAAATGGTGAAGAAACTAGACACAAAATATTATTTTTTGAAAGGGAAATATTATTTTGCAAAAATAGCAGATGGTTGCTGTTTTCCTGGCCCTCCCCCTTTTCTCTTACTACAGCTCTCCTCCACTTGAGATTCATTGGACTCTTTTCCCAATAAAAACTTCTCCACTGTGATTTGCTTCTGTCTTCATTTCAAGATGTTTCTAAAGCAAGACATGGCATTGCAAATATTTATGGTATGGTTTACTACTGATTTATCACTGTCATAAGATTTCCTGAACCTCTGCATCTTACCCCAATTTGCACAGATTTTGTGGATCAAATAACTAGTAGTATTATCCTCCTTTCCATCTTCTTATGAGGAAATTTGATCTGCTACATTAAGTGCATTTTTTGGCGCTGTTTGCTGCTTACTTGTTCGTATCTTGAGATATCATTAGTCATCCAAGACAATTCTTGTTTCAGATCCACTGTACCTGCCAGATTTGTCTACAGTGAAAGAAACTGCAATAAAATTTTTACAGGAATATAGTATTTAGGAGCAAACTTTTTAAAGGGAAAAATTCCTTTGAATATTTTCTTAAACTGTTCCTCACAAATTTCTACCAGAACAGAAGAAATAAAAACTTGCTTGGAAGCAGAATGATTTTTGAGATAAGTATCTAACTGGAATATAAAATATATATGTAATAAATAATTTTTTTCAAATCATAACTCTTTTTGTTCAGTCAAAAATCACAATTTCACCAAAGGGGTTGCGACAATACATTGATACTAAAATATACCATTATAATTTCCTTTTACTAGTAAAAAGATACTTACCATTTGCATATTTTAATCTCCTAGCTATTTCATTCCAAATGGTATCTTTCACATAGCCTTTTTTATAATCCACATGATATGGAACATATAACACTGGATGATTCTTAACTTGCTTGATGAGTAGTTTCATTTCATCTGCACATGTAAACAAATCCTTATATTTTGGTATTTGAGTTGCCTTCAAAATCACATTATCAGCATTTACAGTAACATGATTGTTTTCAGACTGAATTGGAATATTTGTACTGGTAGTGAAAGTTTCAGGTACAACTCGAGATGCAATCTTAGGAACTAGGTTAGAATTTGAATTCTCTAAAGAATCGGATGGTGGTTGCTCTTGGCATGGCATTGCATACGATATTAATTTCACCCGTTCAGAACTAGTAAATGCCCAGTCAGCAAAATGAGCATCACATAGTCTAGCATTATAATATATATAATTTGGATCACACTCTAGCAGATCTTCTCTATCTATTGCTCGTAACCATAATGGTATCCTAAAAACAAAATTATAATATATTTAAGGAGAAAAATCTTTATCTTAAATAAATTATACATTACAAAACTCTGGTACTGTGATGACAAATAAGAATTATATTTATATACTGCTTGGCAGGTAATTTCTTAAGCATTCATCAAAGTATACTTACAGTAACATTAAACTTAGCAGCTGATGAATTTACATGACTTCTGAAAATTTGCATTTGCTATTTTAAAACATAAAAAGCGAAATTTTATTTGCTTTAAGTACTGTCTGAATATATGTTTTTTAAGTCAAAAAGGTCCTTCCAAAAATTACACTATCTTACATATATAACTTAACATTTACATTAAAAGAAAATATATATCCTGCTATACTAAATGAACCTTTTGGCCCCGTGCAGTTTCCTATACACTTAGAGTTAATTTATAATGCACAGTGGACTTTCAAAGGTATCAAAATTGGATATAATAAAATATATGGATATCCTTAATCGAAACTTTTTTATATTTTTTCCAGAACTTTTGCAAGTTATAACAAAGAAATTACTAACCCTTAAAAATTCCCCATATTTAGGATGTTGGGATCCATATTCCATATTTGAGTTAGTCTATTTTTAGGGAGCCTCTTGGATAATCGGCAAGTTGTTTCATTTATCGCCAAATTGTTGTTTCATTTATGGTAAGCAGAGTAGTTGAATGTTATGGAAACCCTATTATGACGTCATTGGTTTCGTGATAGTGAATTTGACTGACGGGAAAAGATTTATAAGGGCTCATTTATGCGTTGAATGTCAGTTAGGAAGTACGTTACTTATTTTGTGCTGTACATCATATAATGTCTATATGTGATGAGATTAATGTGAAGTTTCTGTACGATTTGGAATGAAAGGGGGAAAAAAAATCATTAATAGACTGGTGTGTAAATGAAGGTTTACTTAGTAGTCATTATAAGTGTTCTGTTTGTATGAAGGAAATGCGTATGGTCAAACATAATGATTGTTCAGATGGGTTTGTCGTAAGAAACACCACTGACAGTCCCGCACTACGGAGGATATTTTTTACTCTTATTTTTGTGAATTTCTGTGGTGACGACGGTATGCATATTCTAGTCGATATTTCCTTTTTATAGTGCATATATGCGATAACATACATTTGCTTTTTTATGTTATTTCATTGTGCGATTTAAAATTCAGTTTATTGAGCTTCAATTGGCTACTAATTTTATTCAATTTTGGTGATCAGTAACTTTGTTTTAACATTATATGATGTCATCATTCTCCTGATTTTTTTTAATGGATCGATGTGTATACGGACAAAGTCAAGAGAGTGCACAATGCCGAGTTTGTACAATTCTCTGATTTTTTTTTTAAGTGAAAATAGATCAATGTGTACATGGACACCAAGTTTGTGCAATTCTTTGACTTGTTATTTTGGTTTTGTGTAGCGGGGGGGGGGGGGGGGAGGGTCTTGAAATTGTGCCTTGTTGGCCAATCGTCAAGAATCACCAATTTTTGCCAAGGGGACCCTGAAATATATTTTTACCCATATTTGATGCATAAAGGAAAATACCTTTACATTGCTTTGCTCTGTGTTCTAGCCAAAGACTATATGAGACTGGTGTGACACCCAATCTAGAACAAGTACACAGTAAGTAAATCTTAGGACAACATATGGCATTCTTTATATATATGGTTATGTGATTGTTAAACCAAAGAACAAACGCAGGTTCTCTGATTCTACTCATATTCTTTTTGACCAAGTTATTGGATAGAGATCCATTCAAGGCTAAAGGCCCGTTTCCACTACTGCGTATGAACGCGTAGCATCATTTGAAGACACGCCTACGGCATCCGTACAAGAGTTTCCACTGCCGCATATCCGTAGATTATTTTCATTTCCCTCCGCTAGGTGTCACTGTAATATTTTGGCGCCAATCAACCAGTTCGCGAGTTATGACGCTGAACATCTGAATTTTTCCGGCTTAAGCGAGTATTGTTTATTTTGGATATGATATGGATTCAGACATAAAACGCAGAAAAGTTTTGTTTCTTTTACTCTTAAAGAAACTGGACGGTTATGAAAGGAAATTCCATGTTATTGGAAATTTTTATTTCTGCTTATAAACTGCGAAAGTAAAGTATGCTAGCAATTTTTAGATAAGTAAGGTTATAATGCATATTATGAATATCTCTAATTGCATATTAATGAAATAATATATATTATTAAAACTAAAATGTACCATTACTGAAAAAATAAACAAATAAATAAATAGTTAAATGAACTAAAAAATAGTTGTTACTTTAAAAATACAGAGAAACTGTAAAGAAAAGTTCAAAATATTTACACAAAATTTGCTATGCTTGTATACCGCTGACTGCCATGTGAGACTGTATATTTTTAAATTATGCCCAAATTTGGGGAGAAAGCAGCGTGAAATTGATAAACAGATTTCGGATTTCAAAACATACTTTCGCTTTAGATCCTTTACATATTAACAAATATATATCGGAAATTCTATTTGATATAATTGAAAGTTTAAGCTTACTTTTATAAAATTACTCTTACAGTCTGCAAAAAATAATAAGCCGGATCAATTCGAAAATTAAGGAACAATGCAATCATCAACATAAACTGAAATAGATAATTAGATAATTTTAGCATATACGTCCATTATACATAAAACGCGCACGCGAAAACGTATTCTGCACTTGCGCACACTCATATGCGCAGTCGTAAAAGGTCTTACACGCATGCGTAAATGCCTATGCGCATGTGTCAACGCGGCGCATTCGCAGAAAGTTTTTAGTTTTGAGGTCCGGATTATAGATCATTCCGAATTATGGGTGTCTGAATTAACGACTTTTGACTGTATATAAAATTTTAGCATCGATTTCTTCATTTTTAATTTCTTCAGGGTCATAGCTGGATAATTTATTAGAAATCTCATTTGTTTTAAAATGCACTATGGGCAGTTATATTTTATGGATAATTCATAAAATATTATTTTTAGTCAAAAAATAGATTTACAACGCGAAATTTTGATCCTTATCAAAATTCTCAAAAATAATCTAATTCCCTTTCAATTTATCAACCATTGCCTTAAAAGAGCAGGCGTTCTCACTCTAAATCATTTAACTGATAGGGATATGATAATTTATTTCTAAACCTGAGAAGGCGGTATAAGTTGGATGACTGTCAGTTGGAAGATTTGTATATAGTGTAATTACTCATAATTGTATATATTGTAAAAAGCTAATTGTCTTCAGACATATACTGTTACTAAAAAAATGGGCCTATTTCATGCCTTTAGACTGTCTATTAGCTCTTGGACAGTGAAAATGGCTTTTTCCTTTCTTAAATTCTTAATCATTGTGACACGACAATTAGCCAGAAATTAATTAATTTCCATTCATTAGTATTTTCAAAAAAATCTTAACAGACGGTCTCTCTCAGATAAGAACTCCACAAAATACATCCCTCAAGAATTACAAGTCCCACCCACTACCATAAATTACTTCGCCCAAGTCTTACCGACTGATATTATTCAAAGCCCCTACTGCCGCTAAGAATTTTCGGACACCCTACACTTCTGAGTCACACACGAAGAGAACACTTTGCCAACTCCCCCACTAGAAAGAATGTAAGTTACTTAATACCTTTTCTGGCCTTTATATCTTCATGTACATTCACTGATCTTATTTATATTATTTTCTATATTATTTTTATATTTTCTTTGATTTGTTTTTACAAAGTTTGCATTATTTATCTTTTTTTATAATCTTCTATGTTTATTTCAACTTTACTTTGAATTCGATTTCATAATGACAATTTCCAATGTTTAATTTCTACAAATAATATAGTACTCAAATGCATAAACATGAAAGTGTCGGGAACAGTTACTCGAGTTTTACAGGATTTCTCTACAATAATTGATTTTTACTCCAAATTGAATTGACTAAAATGCTTCATAAGAATAAGTTCTTTGAGTATCAGCATTGGTTCATAATTCCTACTATTCGCGGAAATATTTGGCCTGACTAGAATTGCCGGTTTGGCTTTAACTTATAACTCGAGTAAGGACGAAACACTTTCGTATTTACGTATTTTTATCAGTTATTGTTCATTGAACGGGAGTTGGTTTGTTCCCCTTGAAAAGTCAACTAATTTCCGATCAATGACAATGACTACATGTTTTAATTTTCCCTTTTACAATTGAAATATTATTCTTCGTGATGATTTAATTCCAGTCCCCGTTAAAACATATTAACATTTTGCTTTCAAATTACTTCAAAACATCTTTCAAAATATAACTTACCAGTATGGATGCACACTTTTAAAATAATTCTACTTTAATTAAACTTAGGTGATAATATAATCAATTAATCAATACTGTTTAGGAAATAAATTATTATATATATATATATATACAAGGGTATGCTTTAAATTCGTATTATATAATTTTCAAAAAAATTTTTTGTGGGGGAAAATTTAAATAAATACGAGCATAAATAAAACATTATATTTAATGCATAGAATAATAGAAATAAATTATAAAACATGAATATAAATCAAATTGGAACAAGAAGCTAAGAAAGTTGCAGACAGGGTGGAAAAAGCATATGGGATTCGAACTTATGACCCCAAAAGTTAAACCTTGTTACAGTCAGCTTAACCACTAAGCTATCATGATACGGGATTCATACACATATTTTGGCTTATATACATCATTAAGTAAATCAATTCTTAAAACTAAATTTTTTTGTCTAAAAAATTCACCAGTTTGTTCTTCAGCTTCAGTACATTTCTGATAAAAAACATTATCTTTTAAAGTAGCATTTCGAGGGCTGCTAAAAATATATATACCATGAGCTTACAAATTATATGTTAGCCAAAAAGTTATATTTATAAACAGAGAAATACAAATTTAACATACTCTTTAATGCAGTAGAATATTTAAAAGACTATCAAATTTAATTTATAATTAACATTTTTAGTTTTCACCTGTTTCTAAAGA